TTATATGATCGTATCTATAGATCCATAAGAAAGCATTTGATAAAATACAACATTTCTTAATAATCAACTCTTAGCAAAACAGGAGTAAAAAATATTCCTCAACATAATAAAAGCCATATACGAGAGACCTATTATAGAACATCATACTGAATGAGGAAAAGATAAAAGCCACTAAAAACTGGAACAAGATACAGCTACCCATTTTCTCCAATCCTTTTCAACACAGTGTTTGAAGTCCTAGCCAGTGCAATCAAACAGGAGGGAAAAATAAAAGCATTCAGATACAAAAAGAAACTAAACTGTCCCTATTTGCAGAAGAAATTATTATATACATAGAAAACTGAAAGGGATCTACAAAAAAAATTCCTAGAAGAAGCTAAACTGTCCCTATTTGCAGAAGAAATTATTATATACATAGAAAACTGAAAGGGATCTACAAAAAAAATTCCTAGAAGTGATAAATTAATTCAGTAAAGTAGTAAGATACAATGTCAATATACAAAGATCTATAGCATTTTTATACACCAACAATGAACAAAGACAGAATGGAAGAAAGCAATCCCATTTACAATAGCACAAAATAAATAAGATACATAGTATAATAAACCTAACCAAAGATGTTAAAGATCTCTACAAGGAAAACTATAAAAAAACTGAAAAAAGAAATTGACTATGATCCAAATAATGGAAGGATCCCCCTTGCCCTTAGAAGAATCAACATAATCAAAATATCAGTTCTAATTTTTAGGAAAATTAATTTCCCTATTTCAATGTGATTCCAATCCAATTATCTGAGACATTTTTCACAGAAATAGAAAAAACAATTATTTCACAGAAATAGAAAAAATAATAAAAGTCCCCATATTACTAAGGCAATAGTGTGCCAAAAAAATAAAGTAGGAGGCAAGAGGGTGGGAGAAAGGGGCAAATGTGAGGAAAGACATTAAGGAGAAAAATAGAGAGGCAAGAGATTTATGGGACACAGAAATGAATTATTATCTGTTGATGATAGCGTGTGTAGTATTCTCAACTGGACTGATGTGAAGTGTATTCGTGTTGGGAAAAGTCACTTTACAAGCTAAGTGATATATAGTGATCAAATGTATAAAAGAAATTAAAATAAAGTAAAATGTAATATATATACATATATGTATATATATGTATATATATATCAAAGCAGTAAAATGAAAACAGTGTAGTATTGGCACAAAAATAGACATGCAGATCAACTGAACAGAACAAAAAATCCAGATATAACCCAAATCATACAGCCAACTGATCTTTGACAAAGGGTACAAGACAATGCAGTGGAAAAAAAGAGTTTTTTGGCAAATGGTGCTGGAAGTACTGTGTGTGTGTGTGTGTGTGTGTGTGTGTGTGTGTGTGTGCGTGTGTGTGTGTGGCTTTGGTTTTCTCATCTGTAGAAATATGAGGTTACGGTGGTGGATGGTGGATATGAAAAAACAAAATCTCAATGTAGTGAAAACTTCCAATGACAATTTCAGTTCAGATTACCAAATAATGAGTCTCTTATTTATTTGTTTTTTTTATTTCTTTTTAATCTTGCTGTAGGGTACGTGTGCTCACTGGAGTCAGAGAGCAAGAGTGAGAAAGCACACCTCTCCAGGCAGGCTGGCCATGCTGCAATCCCTCCTCCTCTTTTCTCCTCTCGAGAGTCTGGGCAACTTGCACCTGGCACGTCCTTCAAACCACTGGGTCCACAACATGAACCACGTTGTCAGCCACGTGGGATCTGGCCACCTTGATCACCGCACCGAGTGCCTGAGTCCTCTCTTTGTATGTAATTTAAATGTGTTTGGATGTAATGTTTTCTAACTTAAAATTAGTAGAGTAACATATTCTTACTTGAATAATTTTTAAGAGAGATTCTGGCTATAGGGCACACATTCTCGCTGGAGAGAGAGACAGAGAAACAAAGCAAGAAATCATCCCGGGGGGCGGGGGGGATGGCCATGCTGCAATTCCTTCTCCATTCTCCTCTTGGAATCTTGGGCACACCCACGCCCGTGCTGCCAGCTTGAGTTTTAAATCACCAGGTCCAGGACTCGAACCATGGTCGACACAAAAGATTCCAGAGACCTAACCATTATGTTATCTGCTGGTCCACTTGATTAAATAATTTTTAAAACGCAAGTTTCTATTTATAAAGGAAGTGATATGGTCTTCAATTTTCTTTTTTTTTTTTTTTTGGGGGGGGGGAGGTTTTCGCTATAGGGCACCTGCGCTCGCCAGAAAGACAGAAAGAGAGAAAGAGATAGAAAGCAAGAAACCACCCCCCAGCGGGGATGGCCACACCACAACCCCTTCTCCTCCATTCTCCTCTTGGGATCTTGGGCATGCAAGCACATGCGCCTGGCGTGAGTTTAAGCCGCCGGTCTGGAACTTGAACTGTGGTCAACTACGTGGGAGTCCAGCAACATAGCCATTACGCCAACTGCTGGTCCCAATTTTCTTAAAAATAATAAAGTGGGAACAGTAGGGCACAGCATGAAGGGTAACAGCTGTAAAACAGAAGTGTACGCCAATAACTGGAGAAGCTAAGTGGTGGGTTATAGGGACTCATTATTCCATTCTATTTTTATATGTCTTTGAAATATTTCATAACAAAAAAATGTTCTTTAAAAAAATGAGAGGGCTCAGCTGGTGATATAGAGGTAAAATATAACACTCTACAGGCTGACCCACATGGGTATGTCCTGGGAATGCATTCAGAGATCTCCTAGAGCACCCCAGACACGTGTGTGTGTGATCTGGGGTGTGCACCAGCTCATGGCATCAAAACCCTGTTGAGGGTACTCTCTCTCTCTCTCTCATGAAAAAAAAGAATCTAAGATAATAAAATTTTAAAATAAGATTATATCATCAAAATGCTCTATCCTAACGAAACTTAAAGTGCTAGTTCTTGTATGTGGTGTTATTAATTTTAAATCCTCATGCCCCTTCAATGTAGATGAGAAAAGTTCCATCTTTTTAATGAATAAGCACTTTGCAAGAAGAGAGAGCAGCCTCATTTTGTCTATAATTGTTATTCCCCAAGCTATATCCATCTTGCCTTATCCTGAAAGTGAACTGACAAAATATCATTTCTTCAGGAATTGATAGCTGTTTTAAGATTTCTTTAAAAGTAGGAAATAAATTTTCGAACGTATTTTCTAACCACAAATTTTAATATGAAGAGCTAATGTAACCCAAATCTATCTAGTATGATAACTAAATTGCAAAAACCAAGTGGAAGTTACTTTTTGCAAGGAATAACTTTTGAACCACTATAATTATTTGATAGAAATAATCATTACTACTAACAAATGAGGACCTTCTACTTTTTTCCCTCACCAAAAGTCACATATACCTAGAAACCCTTTCCTACTGTAATCAGAGAAGACCAATTTTAAACAAGTCATGAATACTTTACAGATGTCACTTGCGTTCGGGGAACTTCATGATCTGAGTTTCCAGGATTTCACATCCAAGTCCAAAGCCTGTGACGTGTCAGTATTAAATAGCTCCTGACCACATTAGGCTGGCTCCCTTTTCTGTCTGCAGTCACTCTCCATCTCTACTCCTGTTACAAGCTGCAAGGAAAGCCTTATATGTCTCTTACCATGAATTAACAGCTATGCTTTATTTGGAGTCTAGCATGCCCTGGCTGTTTCCTTCATTTCAATCATCAGTTTGAGCCTTGTTATTTTATGGGATTGTCTCGTGGTTATCTGATACGCTTAACTGTAAACTATAAGAAGATGGAGACGGAGCTTGCTTTGTTCATCTGTACTATCGTCAACTGATATTTAGTAGGCACAAAATGCATAGTCAACAATTGATAAAGTGAAAAGCTCTATATTTACGATAAAGTTTCATTTTATCAGCTTTGCAAATTCCTGGATCTGCCTCCGTCAAAATTTCCAATCCTTAACAATTTAACAATGGTAGCATTTTTTAATGTTCTTGGCAAAATGATTTTCATAAGATACATAAAAGTTTTCTCTTCAGCACTTTAGCACTCATAAAAATGTGTCTCTTCCCAGAGATTTTAGCTGGCATGCTATTTTCAACCGGTCGAACTGTATGTGATTTAGGTACCATTGCCTCCTGACAAGATTGAATTCTGTGGGAAATTTTAAATAAGCACGTATTTCTCATGCAGTGTGATTCTTCACACTGCTCCGTAGATTCCCGACATAACATGAAAATACAGAGCTGGGACTAGTCCAACGCAGCTAAAATCAAAAGGCTAATTAACATCTCTTCCCTACGGGTGATGTGACAATACCATGGAGGTGTCAACAGGAAGTGTATTATCTGTTACAATCTGAAAGGAAACATACATAACACACCTAATTTTTCAAAACCATGTTTTTTAAAGGTAACAGTATAATTGATTTGTCCCCCAAGATGGTTTTTTTTAAAAATCTAGTTCAGAGATAATAATCCTCTATTTCATTTTACCCAGAGATAACCAGAGTTTGATGCACACGACTATCAGACATTACACATTATACTTCTCAGTCAGATGTAATACATTTAAGAGCAAGAAAACATAGCAGACTAAGATAGGAACTATAAATCCAAACCTCTAAGACTGGAGTACTTCATTCATGCCTCAGTTGCCATATCAGAGAAATGGAGATTATTTTTGCCATTGCTTAGACTTTGGTGAGAATTTATTGGTTTTCATAATATATATCATAAGCGATTGTGTAGATGATAGTCCAATATAATATAATTTAATACTATCTTTTTTTAAGTCATTGTTCCTAGTGAAATGTAAGTTTAAGACAAGGAAATAAACACCTTTTTTAAATAATGTATTCTTTCCCATATAAAATGATAGCATAAAAAAGCAAGATAATAGCTTACAAGTGGTTCATGTGGCATAACTTGATGTATTTTCTAAAAATCCTTTGATGTTCTGCCTGAGATGGCCATGAGGAAGAACAATGCAGGCAAATAAACTAAAAGAAGAGAAAGCTATGGCTTACTTGGAGCGGAAGAAGGTAAGGGACCCCTGGCCTCAGATTCTGCTGGTGTTTGTTTCTGGTTTTTTGACTCATGGATCTGTTCTTCCTTTTGTCTGAAAGTTGCAGACATTCCCATTGGGTTTTCTCTGCCAACTGAAATTAAGATTTTAAAAGATGCCATCCTTTCAGAATTACTTGTTTCTTCTCAGAATACTCACCATATGTTCCTCTATGCAAGTTTAAGTTTTGCTATTGTTTCCATTTCAATGCCTAGTCAAATCTTTTTACTCTGCATTCCACACTTACCAGAGATGACTGTTC